TATCACACTATCAGCAACAGCTGCCTCTCATTTTTATTTGTTTTTAAATTCGACTCAAAGTCCAATTCTCCATACACATCCAAAGCTGTAAATCCTAAGGCAACTGATTACATGATTTAGTAAACAGGTTATATTATATAATGCAATTAAAGTGGGGCCCTGTGACGCCACCTACAGGCCGCTTCTGGGAAGGGAGCCAGGGGGGAGAGGATCCCCCATGGGACCAGGCTTGCTGCGGAAAGCAAAGAACGGGGCTTTCTCCAGGGTTGAGGCAGCTGCCTTGAGGAAAGAAGCTGAAACCAGCCAGGTTACAAAGGCGGTGTTTCAATCCCTCCTGTGTTATTTCAGCCGCCTGCAACTCCGTCTAGACGCATCAAAACCCGGCCCAGGGCAGCTGAAGGGGACCTTGGAGGTGTCTGCGCGGGGGGGCCATACTGGACCCCCGGTCGTCTGGGCTCCTCCACTCTGCAGAGTGAGGCTAAAGAAGGAGGAGGAGAAGGAGGGAGCTGGCCGGCCCTGAGAACGAAGCTATCATCCAGCTCTTTCCATCAACTCACCAAGAATGTGTGCAGATTTTCCAGATATTCTGGGGAAGTCTTTTGGCACTGCAGTCCTAGAGGGAAAGGGCCCAGAGCACGCCGTGAGAAGCAGGGCACTGCTCTGCGTAAAGCAGACTTCCCACCCCAAGCTGCAGGAGCCTGGAGCTGCAGCCAACCTCACACACCCTCCACGCAGTCTCAGAGACACACCCAGGCAGGGGACCGGTCCTACGCGACCTTCTCCTTGCGCCAATAGAAGGAAGATGCTGCAGGCTTTTTGTTGGAGGGCAGGCAGGCAGTGATCCTGGGGACCCTGGGGAGCATCTCTTAGCTGCTGTGGAGGAAGGGGCAAAGGAAAGAAAAGGAAGGCAGAGAGGGAGAAGGAAAGGGAGGGAACCCTCCCCGCCCCCCACCCCCATCCTGAGCCACAACCATCTTCAGATGACTTGAAACCCCAGAATCTCCAAGGAGTTTTCCTGAGTGAGAGGGAGATTTGCAGACTAGGAAACCAGACTGGAAGGGGGCATGGTATGGAGTGCATAGTGGAGTGGTGTTGTGAGCAAGGAAAATGGGGCTCTTGGAGTTCAACAGGATGGAAATATCATCCCCACACTCTTGTGCCAGTGACCAGCTCGTCTCTAGTTTAGGGCAGGCTGGGTCCTTCCTCCCTCTCCTGCCTCCTTGCCGGACAGTTTAGACTCTGCCAGGGTCAGGGGTCAGGGTTAGATGCTGTCAGGCCAGCTGGCCAGGCACTCTCCAATTAGACCGTGTTTCTCATCCTTCAGGCCTTGGGCCCCCCACCCTGGCATCCCAGCCCAATTACTGCCCGGCAGCATTAACCCCTTGGTGCCCCCCAGGCCGTTAATGGAATGTTAATTGGTCTAATGGGTTTCATGTCAACAAGTCCTAATGAGCTGTTTGCTAACAAGGCTGGTGTGTATGTGTTTTCAAAGCCTGTTTGTCAACACCAGAGTTTGGACTCCAGACCAAGAGTCAGCCAGAGAGCCAAGGCGTGGGATGGGAGCAGGAGAGGAGGAGGCGAAGGGAGAAGGGTACCCGCCTGGCACCTGTGCCTGCCCTGTAATGTGGCAATGATACTGTCAGTCACACAGTTGATTTCCTCTTGGCTATTGAGGAGGGGGTTGAGTGTCACATCAAGGTGTTTTCCCTCCAAGCAGCCATAATTAAGGTTTTCTCCACGAGCCTCCCCTGGACCAGGAACACTCCACGCCAACATGTTCTCCATTTGTAGCCTCTGGCCACGCTCCCTTGAATGTCCTGGTGTCTGGTGACAGGCACTGTGGCCTCTGGACAGAGCCTCTAAAGTAAAGCTCCTGGAAGCTCCTAAACAAAGTGCCACAAGGGTAGGGCTCCTGCTGGGCCTGGCCTCAGATCAGGCAGGCACAGGAAGGCTGTGCAGGCAGCATGGGCCAGCCATGACCCAGGCTGTGTGTGGCTGAACTCCCCAAGGAGCTTCTGTGCAAGCAGGGAAGGGAACTAAGCCGCTGATGAAAAGACCTGCTGTTCCCCTGCACAGGATGCCCCTAAAGGGTCATGGGGCAGTGGCCTCTGGTGACCCTGCAGAGGAGGAGGGGCCCTGGCCATCTGGGTCCCCTACTGGGGCTGGTAGGGCAGGCTCAGGACTGAGAAACCTCTCAGGCCTCCTATCTCCAGGCACAGACGACACTTAGCTGTCCCCACTGACCTGGGACAGTTCAGCCCTAATGCCGGCCAGGGTTGCGTGGCCTTCGCTGCGACCTTGTCACCCAAAGAATGAGATTACCAAAAAAATCCCAGCCTTAGGTTAGGGGAAGCCAGCCGGCCCTAGGAGGGACTCTGCCTGACTCTGTCCCCGGGCTCCCTCTTCTGGAGGCTGCTGGTACTGCAGCGCTCGGGCGGGCCGCGGCTTTCAGGCAGGTGAGCTGTGGTGGGTGCCTGAGGGTTACCTAGTCCCCACCCAGACCTGCAGCGCCCAGAGCGCTTCCTACACATCCTTATCTCCTGTGTTCCTCCGGGCCAAAGGGAAGCGCTTTCACATCCATTTAGTATCTCCGACGAGGGGGAAGCTCCCCTGTGACCCTGTCAGAGCCCAGCACAGAAGGAAACCAGTGCCTGGTGTAACAGGTAGGGGCATGAGCTGGGGGTTCAGCCTCTGAACAGGCCATGGCAGGACGCAAAGCAAACGGGAACTGCCTTCGCTCCCCAAGCTGTCACTGGTGCTACTTCCACGGCCCTCTTCTTTGTTGTGGGGTCAACTCCCCCCTAGCCTAACCACACTCCAGGGAGGGGAAGCCTAGTCTCATTACCCCATCTCTACAACCTTAGCACAGTTATCTACAGAGCTCACAAAAAGATTTATTTGAAAAGTGAAGTGAGGGGACCTGGCAGGGTAGCCTAGCAGCTAAAGTCCTCCCCTCACACACCAGGATGCCATATGGGCACCATATAGGTTCAAATCCCAGCAGCCCCACTTCCCATCCAGCTCCCTGCCTGTGACCTGGGAAAGCAGTCAAGGACGGCCCAAAGCCTTGGGACCCTGCACCTGCCTGGGAGACCTGGAGGAAGTCCCTGGCTCCAGGCTCCTGGCTTTGGATTGTCTCTGCTCCGGCTGTTGTGGCCACTTGGGGAGTGAATCAGTGGACAGAAGATCTTCCTCTCTGTCTCTCCTCCTCTATGTGTATCTGACTTTCCAATAAAAACTAAATAATTAAAAAAAAAAGAAAGGAAGGAAAGTGAAGTGATAGAACGGAGAGATAGAGAGAATGAGGTCTTCCGTCTGCTGGTCCACTCCTGAAATGGCTGCGGCAGCCAGGGCTGAGCCAGGAGCTCCCTCTGAGTCTCCCATGTGCATAGCAGGGGCTGTAGCACCTGGGCTATCCTCCACTGCCTTCCCAGGATGTATCATCAGGAAGCTGGATCAGAAGGGGAGCAGCCAGGGCTTGAACAGGGGAGGACACAGCTCACTGTGCCAGCACAGCAGCCCCAACAGAGTTGATTCTCAACAAACACCCATCGAACAGACCGTGAATTCTCAGTGCCTGCGTGTGCACTTGAGGCCAGAGCACACCTGGGACTGTGCAGACTCAGGTCAGGGCCGAACAGACCTTTCATCTTCTTCCCAAAGAGGAACCAAAGGATCAAGACACACCCACTGGGCCCTAGAGGTCTACCCTCTTGTGGGACGGTAACTCCAGGACACCCTCAAGTTGCCCCAGAATTCCTGTCGGGGAACTTGACAGAGGGAGGGGGAGGGTCGATCTGTAAGATGCTGAGACTGCGCATCCTCTGAGACAAGGGAGGCAGGGCTGTGTGCCATGAGCCCTGAGACTTGCAGCTCCTCAGCGCCACCCACAGGGACAGCACTGGCACCCACACGGGGTTTCAGGAAGCTCTGTCCCACCTGGGCAGCCCTGGGCCAGGCAAGAAGCCTATGCTCTCCAGGGCATCTGCTCTTAGCAGCTCTCTGGGTAGCTGGCTTCCTTGGCTGGTCTGGGCCACTGTGTGTCCACATTCCAGCTCTACAGGAAAACTTGAGGCCCCCTGGGGCAGCTTATATAGTGTGATGGTGAGTGGGGGGGTGTGGTTCAGTGGTACAGGCCCAGAACTGGGAATCCTTATTCCACTAAACACCCAAATGTGTGCTTGCACGCACACACAAATACACACACACAGGTACACAAATGCACTCACACATGTACACAAACTCACACATACACACGCTCGAGTACCTTGCACACCTCTGGGGCTTCTGTCTCCGTCTGTAAGAGATGGGTGGACTCTTTGGCTCTGCCCTCTCTTTGGGCCCCACGTGCCTGTGACTTTGCTTCAGCTCCAGGCTCATGAGAGGTCCCTGGTGTTGTGCATGACATGAACACGCACCTGATGGTCCCGGGATGTGGCTGGTGCTCCTTGCCTCCTTCCTTCACCCAAGACTTAGGGGCAGTCACTCAGGGGCAAACGCCCCGTGTCTTTTGCCTCCACTAGGGGTTGGGGTGAGCACTCTGGAGTGGGATGATCCTGTGTGCACCAGAGCACCTGCCTGCAGGGACAGAGAGGGGGACAGGACATGGCTCACGGCCCTCTCACGATAGGCTGGGAAGGAGGGGCATCCACATGGAACTGCAGCACCCTGCCCTGTGGCCCTCCCTCTCCCCATGCACCAGGCCAGAGCTGATGTTGACCAAAACATCCCTGAGGGGGGTATAGGTTGTTTTACATATGATTTGAATATTGTTTCTTTCAAGTCAAAATAGCATGGCCAGCTCTGCCCAGCCAGGCCTCTCCAGGCCTCTCCATGGCTCTCATCTGTTCCCCTGAAGGGCATCCAGCCCTTGCTGAATCCAGTTTTGTGCAGGTGGTTCAGCCCAGAAGCCTGTGGAGCTGGTGGGTCTCCAGGGGCTGCCTGCTTGGTGGGATTAATGATATACTCCACCTGCCCCCTCCCCCTCTCTCTTGCTGCAGGTCCTCCATGTGAATCAATCCCATGATGCAACATGCCTCCCCAGCCCCAGCTCTGACAATGATGGCCACGCAGAATGTCCCGCCCCCACCCTACCAGGACAGCCCACAGGTGAGTGTGCCAGAGACACTGGAGAAGGGAGTATGATGGTCTTGGGCTTTCCAGCTGGGTGGGCTGGTGGCCAGGATAGTTCAGTGATGGCAGGACAGGGGCATGCGACCTGGTAGCTGCTCCCTGAAGGAGCTCATTCCATTTGACAAGACTTGGGTGAGTCTGTGACCAGCTCTAGGATGATAAACTAGAGTAGTGGCCCTGACCCTGCCTCCACGGGACCTGGACTTCGGTGTCAGTCCAACTGAACCCTTACAGGCAAATCATGTACCTGGCAGATGCAGGCACAAAGTATCTGTAAAGTTGGCCTGTGACTGAGAAATGTCCCACTCAGAGTCTCCTTGGTGCCTAACTGCCCTGTTGATTAGACATTTGTGCTCTTTTGTATGGTACCCCTCTGCCTGTAGGGAGAATGTTTGTTCTCTTTAGGACCCTGCTTGGCTTCTAGCTTAAAATAAACCAGGATTCTTCCTCACAATGTGCCTCCGACCCCTCCCCTCTGGCTCCCAGCTTCCCCGTGTTAGCTGGGACACAGTGCCCCAACTCGGGTTCATCTGAAACCACCTCCCACGTACAAGCAGGTCACCACACCTGCTAACAGCATCTTGTCACTCTGTGCTCTCCTGTGCTCCTTTTGGAAGCCAGGCCTAGCTTGGTTAGGGTTAGGGCTAGGGTTAGGGCCAGGGTTAGGGTTAAGGCCAGGGTTAGGGCTAGGGTTACGGCTATGGTTACGGATAGTGTTGGGCTGCCTGGGCCTCTTGTCTATCCCATGCCATCTTTGCTTCCTCCAAGGGAGCTTCTCCCTCACCTCGATTCTTCTAGGCCTTTAGGCATGTGGTGTGCTCCCACAGTAGGCTCCATGCCCTGACCTTCACCTTAACATCTGTTCTGAATTCTCAGCATGAATTTGTTCATTGTTTATGGAGCATCTGTATCAGGGAATGAATGTGCCCAGCAAGGCCATTCATTCATTTGTTCATTCATTCATGCTTTTAGTCCATATGAGTGAACACCTACCATGTGCCAAGCCATCACACTCCCTCTTTCTCCAACAACCATCTCTACCCCTTTCTGCTATCCCTCACTCATGAGAATTTCAAACTGAACTCTTCTCATGGGGCTTAGGGAAGAGCTCTGCAGCCTGAAAGGCCGTTAAGATGCAGGCACATCTCAGGGAGCCTTTGCCTCTGTCAGATCCCACAGCCCTGATGCCTCCAGCCCAGTGTAGTTGCTCTGGAAATCCTTGTCACAACCTGGGATGATTGTAGACATCACGGAGTCCCTCGTGCCTGGTATGCAGACAGCCCTTGACTCCTCTCAAGTACAAAAACCCTGGTCACTCACTGGCCCTCACTGACCTCTGAGCAAACATCCTTTAGTCCCCAACCTTACTCCCTGATAGCAGCTTCAGTCCCTGGCTCAGCTCTCCCCAGCCCAGCTTCAGCTACAGCAAACCCTCTACCCACAGCACTAGGTCTCCAAGCATGACCCCAGGGCCAGCCTTGGCACTTACACAGCTCTTCTAGTCAAAAGGTTTACAGTGTCCAGTGCTAGCTCAGGGCCCTTCCCCCTATTATCCCTAATTCCAGAGGTGAATTTCAGAAGAAGCTCTCAACTGGTGGAGACCTCCTGATTCCCCAAAACAATGATGACAGCAGTGAGAAAGGGAAGGGGAGCCCTGAACTCAGGATGGAGAATAAGAACCCACACCTCTTATGCAGAAACAGACCTGTTCCCTCATTTGCCCAGTTGGTGCTGAGGACCCTTGAGGTGTTAAAATGAAGGAACTTTGGCTCTGTGACTGCTGTAACTGGATGCTGTTCTCCTAACTCTGCAGCAGCCATGGGGAATAGAGGTGGAGATGCAACCTGTATTTAGCAGGTGGCAGGGACTAAAGCCCACTCCCCCCTGCTCAGGGGTCCAGAGGTCAGAGAACACTGGACTGACACCCCAACGGTAACTGCTTGCCTGCTTTGCCTGTGGAGCAGCTAGAAGTTTTGCTTTGGTGAGGAGCAGCAGGAGCACCATAGCAATGGCCTGAGTTGTCCAAGAACGCCGATCCAACATCTTGAATCAATAAATCCCAGCTTCAACCCTTAAGTGCTCAGTTCTTCTGATTCTCCCACTGACTGTTCTAGTCACGGAGGGAGGAAGGTACCAGTTCTCCTCCAAGCCCTAAGAGCCAAAGCCAGATGCAGAGCCAGCCCATGGCTCCACCCTCTGAGTAGCCACCAAGACCTCAATAGAGTGGATTCACCTTTGCAGCAAAGGGTCTGCTTGCCTGGGATACGCCACATGTTTACTGAAAGCCCCAGAGCCCAGGAAGTGTGGTGTCAGGCAGGAAATTGCAGTGAGTGTGGGCAGTGAGCAGGCCAAGGACTGGGTGATGTTTGTAGACCTGGCTAAAACTCTAGGCTACAGCTGCATGGCCATTGGTTCTCCCTGGAGTGAACTGGTTGGGGACTAAAGGAGATTTTGGGCAGGCACCAGGTAGGTGAGAGAGTTTGCCAGGGGCAGGGTGGGGGGACTGCCAGAACAAAGTGTCTGATTTTTGAATAAAAGGCTGTTCTTTGAGGCCCATTGCCTTGGGAGAGGGCCTTTGTCCCCACCCTATGTATCTAACTACTTTAGGCTGGGGAGCTTGGCTGAGCCTCCTACCCCTTTTCCTGCCTGGCTTTCAACAGGCTCACCCCAGCTCCCCAGGGACCCTCTGCTCAATTGCCCTCATATTGCTCATTACCCTTCAGAGCCAGCTGCTGTGTGATGCTCAGGGTCTTCAGGTAATCAGGGCCTGACAGGGACACCGTCCGGACACACAGGGGAATCCTGTCCTAAGCAGGATCACAGGAAGCAATGCCACTCCCTCCTTGCTCCCATGAATCTGGAGCCACTGTGATATGCTTCCTCAAGGCTTGGACAGCCAAGCTTCTGTTTACATCACCTGCTCAGAAATCCGGTTCCTTCCACGGACAGCAAATGGACAGGCTCTCTGCTACAAAGCCTCCAGAATCAAAGGAGGCACGAAGCAGAGCCCTTCCTCTGAGACCTGTACGATCATTTTAATAATGTTCCAGGTATGCTAAGGGCTAGCAATACTGAGTACAATCTATTCAAATGCACAAGAGAATCTCACTTTGGAAAATTAGGGATCTGCATTAAAAAAAAAAAAATTCCCAAGCCCCAGAAACTTCTTTATAATAAATTAGAAATTTTTTTGCAAGGCAAGTTTGTAACTTGGCAATTTCATTTTTGAAGTTTGGGGAATAATGTTATTAAAAATGAGGGAGAGAGTTTTTTTTTTTCCCATCCCATTTTAGTAGAAAAGCATTAATGGCTATGGTCTCATGCTATATGGGCAAACGCCCAAGATGTTGTTGGTACAATGGCAAAGTCGCCTCTAGTCTCTCTGCTTCCTTTGAGCCCATTCTGGGAAGACTCCGTGATTACTTGTAAGGACACTGGTCTGTTTACTGTGCACATTGTACATTTAGAAAGTGCAAAAGCAACGCCCCAGTGGAGCCCTTGCTGTAGCCTGCTTCCTTCTCCCAGTGGCCTCTGGGACAAGCTGAGCTGCTGAGTGTCTAACTTGGTCTCCCGGACTACACATGACCTTGATCCAGACCCTCCCTTCGTGCTGTGAAGAGGCAGTGCAAGTCACCAAGGGAGGGTGGACGTGTACAGTGAGGGTTGAATGAGAACATGGCCTCCAGGGAGACTGGGCTGTGTGCCCCCTCAGCCCAGTGAACTGTGTGAAAGGTACCATCACCGTCCTCTTTGGAGACTGTGCTGTGGACTTTCGCAAGCACCCCTGCCCACCCTGGCACCCTGGCACCCTGCTGCCACAGATGGGATTTTCAAGAACTGTGTTTGCTTTGCTTTGGCTCAGCTCCCTTTTCCTGCACATTCTTGGAACCCCAGCAAGAGCAACTCCTGGTTTCCCCACTCCTGGAATGTCCCTTGCATCTTTCATTGAGGTTCTCTGTCCTCATCTTTAAATGCCACTCAAGCCTATCCCCACCCCCACCACCCATTTGGCAGCACACTTTGTGTGCAGCTCCTTCCACTGAGCAAAGTCCTCCCTTCTAGAGGTCAACCAGCAATGCGCTCAGAGTTGCAGCTCTCCCATTTTCCTCTGCTGTCCACATGCCCCACCTCACTGTACCTCAAACGCAGGCATGCACACTTCAGTCTCTCATGCCTGTCTTTGCCCTTGCTTGTGGAGAAGACACATACTGTGTCAGCAAAAGTGACATTAGCTGTTCTGTCCCCGTGTCCCCAGCATGTGAGGCTGTATGAGCAGGAACTGGAAAGCAGAAAACATCAAGGCTGCTAGACCAACATGCCAGGCGCGGCCCCAGCAGGTCGAGTACTCAGCCAGAAGTGCAAACTAGGAGCAAATGGGTAGGTAGGTAGTGAGGTGCCTATACAGCATGGCTGATAGAAAAGGGCTTTGCCAACTCCCCGAGGACGCAGTCTTACTGTAGACTCAAGAGGGGCAAAGTCAGAACTCACACCTCACTGCCAGCATGAGATGCCCCCTGCAGATGGAAGACACACTTGCTTGATGCCCTTTGGCAAAAGCTGAGTTGTCCAGGCCCCCTGCAGCCTCCAGCAACCCTCAGAGAGAGAATAGGGTCCAGGCCACAGGAGACAGACCCTGGAGACTTGGGGTTAAGGCTTTACCTGCTCTGCCCAGGGGTAACTTGCGTTTCTCCTGCCCCTGCCTGTCCCAGCAGCAGTCCCATTCCAGGTGCAGCCAGGGGTACTGCCATTCCCGGGAAGCTGCATGCACTTTGATCAGTCATCAGGCTCCCCATGCTGGTTTCATTAACTGAAGGCAGAAGGGGCCGGGTATCCCCCACCTCCAGCTGTGAATGGCCTCCACCCAGGCCATGCAGCTGTGACAAGCAGAAGCTGGTTCAGATGTTTTCACACTCGTTTACATTCCTCTCATCTCTTTAAGGGCTGGAGCCCCCTGCCTTGCGGTGCGGAGGGGGTGC